AGCTTCCCTGCCTTGAGAATCTGATGAAAGCTTTAGACCAAAGTTCCCAACCGTACTTGTCCTACCACCCTTTTTAGAAAAAAAGACCACTCAGTGCCCCCCTGGCATTGCAAACCTTTTATGTGACAGCCCATAATCCAGGGAGAAGTAAGGGTGTCTGCTTTCGGTCCTTGCCCCAGGAAAATAAATGCACAGACACAACCTTGTGCAAGTCATTTTAGGGGACGTATTGGTTCTGTGCAGTTGTCTTGTGGATCCCCAAGCATCCATAAGCATAATTGGTGTGTCTTCTTAACATTTGGTGATTTATTTTTATGACTGCCTGGAGATACTAGTATGATTTATGTATAATGCTTGAGGGAGCATAACCCTAACAAACTAAAGACTTCCCAATAAGCCTCTAGTGGCTTTCTCTTGTCACTACAGGCACTTCCCAGATTCCGAGTGAGCTTCCTCCCTAACTCCGTGTTTAAGTGGCATTTACACAGACTCAGATCAGTCAGGTACAGCATTTATCTAACATTGGCCAGTCAGGTTGGTCTGTCTCAGTGTTAAACACTCTCAGATACACTGACCCATCTTTAGCATAGTAATACAGTGGGAATAATGAGAACACCAGCACGTTTTGGTGTAGCATTTATCTACACCAGACAATTGTGTGTAACTCAGATACTCAATGGACTGTACTCTTTGTGCACTGGTTCTCACCGCCAGATTTGTATGTAAACCTGTCATTGGTAACCTGGTTCATTTCTAACTCAGACTTAAAAAAAATAATAATGCTTTCCTCAAGCATTTTATCATTTATTATCTGCTAAAGTCAATTCTTTCCAAGTTTTAATGACTTGTGGGTTTATGCCTAGTTGGAAGCCATTCCTCTTCCAGAATGTTAGATCCTGCAGCCTTTGCTGTTAATTTACTTTCCCCTCCAGCTGTTCCATATGGTAACGTTGTTAAGATGAATGGTGCTTCCTTGGTAATGCTGAGTAGTGGTTGAGTTGAATAGGAATGAAGGATGACCTTCTTTGCTACCCGAATGCTGTCACCTGCTATAATGACTCCAACAGACAAGGCATTCGGTGTAGATAAATGCCATCCTTCCTCGTGAGCAGATGCTCCTGGGGTCATCTGTGTGGGAGACAGTCACATGGTTATCCACTTAGCATATAATTAAGATTCTGTTAATCTCCAGATTGTACCTAGATGAGAATGTGGTTGTGTTGAAGCACAGGGTAAGTTTTAAGTATTGTTCAAAGTGGAATGGCCTATGGCTTAGGGTTGTAAAGTGTGCACTTGTGCTGTATACCTGGTGATTAAGGGACCTTGGTGCCACAATCGGGCGTGTTGGACAGCTAACTGCAAGGTCCGAGGTTAAAACCCACCAACCACTTCAAGGGAGAAAGATGAGGCTCTCTGCTCCTGTAAAAGTGTGCGGTCTTAGAAACCTTGTCCAGGAAAGGGTCACAAGGAGCTGGAACCCACTCAGCAGCAGTGGGCGTGGTTGGTTTTGGACCTGCTGTTTGCTAGGCAGTGGCTTTAGAGTGAAGTAGGACCTGACCTCTATTTTTAGTCCTCAGGTGTTTTGGATTTGTTGTTCATTATGAATAATGAAACTTAAAGGTTGAAATGGAAGACTGGGCTTGTAACAGAATGCCAACTTCCCAAAATATCAAAATAGTGTTTTCATAGATTTGGGTGTGTGGCATCTTAATTGACTATTAGATTTCAGGATATGTGAAATCTTACTGTGGTATTTGTGTGTAAAGAGCAAAGAGCTTTTCATCAGCATTCATCCAGTACTTCATCAGTATTGGCAACAAACAATAGAAACAGCAGAAGGAAATAGTCTGTGTGTTTTGTCAGTATTACAGACAGCTTATTGAAACAGTATGGCCACCCTTATTTCATCAGTAATGTCAACGGCTCTTTCCATAAGCATTTATAGCCAGTTCCATTTGGGAACTTTGAGGTGCTGTGTGAAGAGTGTATACAGTCAGCCTTTTGTAGGCAGCAGTGGGGAAGAAGACCCTGAGGGTCTCAGAAGCTTCAGTTTTCACCGGGCATCTTGACCTTGGGCTCAAGGGTCAACAGCAATAGAATGAAGGCCATCAAGATGTTAAATTACCAATGTAAGCTGGAATGTTAAAATAAAAGTTAAGTGTTAAAGATGATATTAAAAATGGCAAGAAGTACTGACACACTGCTAGTCCCTCTTTCCCTCTTCTAAGAAAACTGAACGTTCAATCTTATGCTTATGCTTTGGAGAGTCTGGCTGTGGCATTTTGTTCCTTAAAACAGTAAGGACAATGGCTGTCATGGCTGGGTTTCATGCTGCAGCAGTTCTGGTGTGTTTTAGGATAATTATCAAAGGATAATGATAGACACAGGTCGGTATGCTATTTTGGTGTTGGGGGGAGGGACACTGCATAATGCTGAGCCATGCTAAATGTAATATTCCTGGTGCACAGTGGTTCACAAGGGGTTCAAACATAAGGAAGATGGTGGGGATGGTGCAGGGCTGGGCAGTGTTTCGTTCTGCCTGTCGTACACGGTGTCTTTCTGGGTAAGAGGCGACTGGGCAGCACCTGGCTGCCACAGTGCTAGTGACCATTGTTTCCACTGGATACAGGTTACCGTGGCTGACCACCCAATCCTGTGTGCTTGGCTACTCCTCCCCTTCCAGCATGGGCAGCAGTGAACATTTGCCTCAGACTCTGAACTTTGGCTAATTCCTGAGACACCAAGCGTTTAGGACTTAGGCTCCTTTTCACTGCCACTTTCAGGAGCAAAGAATACAGACTCAGCAGTGATGACCACTGCCTGTGTGTGGCCCTGCCAGGTCCCTTCTGAGTCCTGATAGGGCTAACATTTCTCTTTTCTCAGCATTGTCGGTAGAGGGCACTGGAGGGAGACAGGGCTTCCTTTTTGTGGTTCCTGTGTGCTCCTACAGAGTGTTTGAGTCTTTCTGGCAGTGCCCTGGAAGGGGTGGGGCGAGAAGCCCAATCCAACACCCCAGCACTCAAGCTCTTCTCAGGCAGTTTCCAGGGGGAGGCAGCTCCCCGTGAACATCGTTAGCAGCCTCCCAACAAGTGGTGGTTTGCCCAGCAGCCTCAGCTTGCTGGATGTGTTTCAGCGGGTGCCAACCGCACCCTTCCCAGCAATGTCTCTCCCCAGCTGCTCCTTTCTGAGCAACCGCCATCAGCACTAGTGTCCCGGAGAATTCTCTTTTCTTCCTTCCCTCTTAGAATCCCACTAATAATGCTTTGTGCTAAATACTCTCTATTCAAATTACTACATAGCAACATGCACCCACACCATGATTTCCAGCGGGTAAGCCCCAACATTGAGGGATAAGTGAAATGGGCTTCAGTCCTGTGGGAACTCTCAGGACCTGAGGAAGAAAAAAATACCTAATGGTGCAGTTTGTGTTAGAAAGGAGAGTGAGTGTGTGTGTTAATGACTAAAGTTTAAAATGTAAATTTAGTGTCGGTGTCTACCCTTGCGGAGCTTAAAGAACAAATACATGAAGGAGGAACATCTAGCGCTTGAATATGTAGCTAGTGTCCATTTTTACAAAAACACAACAAAGTGGTGGCTCTGTTTGTGAAAATTCTTTTTTCACAGAGCACTGGAGGTGGGTAAGGTTTTGTTTTAATTTTCTCATCTCTGAAACCACCTAAAAGCACGGACTGTTTCTTATCCTGTTTCCCATGTGCCCACAAGAGCCAGCACATAGTAGGTGCCACATAAAAGTTAACTGACAGAATTAAGGCTAACTGTATTGAGTTGGTATCATCTGTGCTGCGTTTTCTATTCCAAGGTGGCCACATTCAGCCAATGTTAGGTTAGCAGATTAGAAATAAGTGCGGGCAATTGTTTTTGACTTGAATTGTAGGCGGAAAGGTCATTTATAAATGTTGTGCTTATTTTTATTGACTCACCTCTAGCCCTGTTTACAGACAATCACATGCTGTCTGCCATAGTCAGTGTGTCCTGCAGAGTGTGTTGGATAATGACTTTTTTGTAGATCTTTACTTCTCAGGTATCCCCCTGGGGTGCAAGGACACACACTACAGCTGAGAGGCTGGTGGCCACAGCCCATGGACTTTAGAAAATCACTCATTTCTGTGCTGACACACCCAGCATGGTCTCCAGGAGACAGCGTTTACCTGTACGGCAACGGCTACTCCTCAGATGTCTGAGTTCCAGATATGGAACCCAAAGCCAAATTCACTGCCATCCAGTTGATTTTGACATTTAGTGACTCCTTCTAGAGCAGCAGTTCTCAACTTGTGGATCGCGACCCTTTTGTGGGTAGAACAACCCTTTCACAAGGGTCGCCCATTTCATAACAGTAGCAAAATTACAGTTTAGCAACGAAAATAATTTTATGGTTGGGGGGTCACCACAACATGAACTGTATTAAAGGGTCGCAGCATTAGGAAGGTTGAAAACCACTGATCTAGGGTTTCTGAGGCTTTGTAAATCTTTACTGTGGCCAACAACCTTGTTTTTCTCCCTTGGAGCAGGTGGTGGGCTTGAACCACTGACTTTGCTGTTAACAGCTAGCCCCATGCTTCTGTGGCAGCACCACCAAAGCTACAGACATGGAGAAGAGGTTGAATGACTTACTCAAGGCTCCAGCCAAACTTTGAGTCCAGCTTGATACCAGAGCCCTTGCTGCTTTGTAGCTCCAGGAGTCAGTTAGGTGCCTGCCTGCCTGCAGTCGTTGACTGTGGTGGGTGCACACTGGTACTTGCCCGGTGTCCTGCCACCTCGTCCCCTGGTCCTCTGGCCATCAAGGTGCCGTGGGTTGAACATGGTAACAAGGTTAGCACAACTCATCATGGGTTCAAGTCATTTGCCATCAATGTGTATCCACTTGCTAGGAAATTGAACTTGTTACAGGTTATAGCCGAAGCTTAGTTGTCTATGAAGGCTGGACCTTGAGGAAATTACACTTGTTAACCACTAATCCTGCCTTCCTTTCTCCTCCCCAGGTGCTGTTACCTCCATATGATGATGCCACCGTGAATGGCACTGCCAAGGAGCCACCACCACCACCATACGTGTCTGCCTGAAGGGGGTGGAGGGTGTGGGATACCTGGCTGCATACGGCTCAGCAATAGTTCTTTCACTCCTGAGATGCGCTCTTGTGGGGGTATTTTTGTTGCTTGAACGCTTAGTAATTTTTCAGTGTAGATGTTGAGTTGAAGTAAACACGCTTGGGCGCTGCAGTCGACTCACAGTAGCATTCTGTTCCTTAGGGACTGGGTGTAGTGCATCACTGGCCTTCCCCAGGCATGGACACTTCCTGAAACGGTGGGTGAACTGGGAGTTGGATAAATCTGGTCTTGCACCTGCTGGACCCTGAAGTTGGGGAGTCGGTCACCCCTTTTCTCTCTGTTCCCTTTAGAAGTGTTCAAATAAAGTCTTAATTTGACAGTGTTTTTCTAAACCATTCCATTGTATAGCCCACACTCTTACTGGGACTCTTAAGGCATGTTCATTGTCTAATTATTGAACCACTTAGGCAAAAAGGCATCCTTATCTATATGTTGCAAGAATTTCCTTAAGGTTCTTTATCACGTAAATTTATTGGTGGCTTGGGTTTGCTGGTCAGAGGTTCTCTTGATGGGCTAATAAATCAAGACCGCCAGAATGGCATGCGGTGACAGGGGCTGATGGTGCCCAGCCAGGCCCGGGGGAGTGAGGGCATTGGAGGGCCATGGCCTGCTCCCTGCCACTCTTTTCCTGGTCCGCCCTGCCCTAACCTGTTTCATGGAGCGCATCCAGCTCCACCTCACTTTATCATGTGAAACTCCTGGTCTGCTTTCCTCAAAGGTGCCTCCCACTACTAGAAACTTCGGAGTAAGCCCAACTGTCTTTTACAACGCAGACCAGCCTTCAGAAAAATCAAAGGTTTCTTTCTTTGCTGAATGTTTTTATCTTGAGTACTAGAACTGCACCACCTCGCATACTGACTCACTGCCATTGAGTCAATGCTGGCTCCTAATCAACCTATAGGGCAGGGTAGAACTGCCCCTGTGGGTTTCCAAGACAACGACTCTTCACATCTTTCTCCTGCATCAAATGCTCAAGAACAAGCACGTCTGTGTGTGTGTTCTTGAGTGTTCTGTCAGTAAGAACCTTTTGATGAAAGGAGATTTGCCCACATGCTGGAGAATAACCCTTTGGCTCGTGGCATTGTGCCTGGAGACTATCCACACAGATGTGGCCCTGCGGGCACACATGGAGGCTGTATGGTTTGTTTTACACACATGCGCTCTTTCATAGTTCAGTGTTGGCCAAATGAGAGCATTGTAGGCCGAGGGGAATAGGAGACCAAAACGGGGGACCCACCTAAGCCCCTCCGTGGCGCCCCATGTGCCAGCTGCTCTGTGTTAACTGCCTTGTCCACAGTGTGCTTTGAAGGAGTGCCCATTTTACTGCCTTGCCACGTCACTGTGCTGGGTTCAAGCACCCATTCCTTGCAATGGCCACATAGAACTCAGGTGATACAACGAGGGGTTATTAGGGAAGTTAGTAGGTTTCCATAAGTCAGGATCAGCAAGCAGTAATACTGTCAATTGGTTGTCTCAGCCAGGAGCCAAGTCACTTTCTAGTCTATGTCTCTCAGCCACTTGGTCCCTTGGCCTTTGCCTCCATGGGCCAGGAAGCCAGCCTGCCTATTGCTCTGCCCCACAGTTCCATGATCTCGGGCCAGATGAGAACATATCCCACAGTCTGCATGTACTCTTGTGGCCTCGGCCACTTGAGATAAAGCCCTTAAACATGCTTTTCCAAGGTCCTCAGGGTTTTCTCCTCCCGTCCAAGATGGTTTGTCCTTAGAGCTGGGGGGTGGTGGTGAAAACAGACCAGTCCCCCGTATTAATGTTATGCACGCCCTGTTTGCATGTTTCCACCCAGTCCTTTGGTGGGAGTTAGAGGCATGGCTAGAAGAGCCAGATTAGGAAATCACCACAACACCTTGAAGACCCTGTGGAGCTTGGTTCTAGTGCACACCTTGGGACCCTTATGAGGCAGGGACCCAGCTAGGTGGCAACCAACAGCAGCAGGAAAAGGCCTTTGGCCAGTCCCTGTGGCAGGAGCAGACACGATCGGTTATTTGCTATGGCTCCCTCTATTTCTGCAGCTCGGTTTCAGTTTGGAAAATGTTGCATGGTCAAGTGGGTACCAGTTTCATGAGGAACCAAGATGGCTGATCTTGTTCAAGCAATATTAACACAACACCATACATTCCAGGATATCCTGTTTAGTTCCCAGAGATAGCAGGTGGTTCATCTCTAGTTGTAGGAGCTTGGTTGATCAGAGACACCTGTTTGTAGGAGCTCACCTCTCCTCCCTTTAAGCCCTAGGACCTTCAGAGCTTCCTCACCGCCACACTTGCCAGCTCCCATACTCTTATTCCAGACAGGGGTTCTTAGGTCTCCTTCTCCTCCAGAAGTTGCCCTCACTCCCAAACTCCCAAGGCTAGACCTCTGTCTCTCGACAACCCTTCCAATTTTGCGTACTTGTCCAGCGGGGACATCTTGCTGACAAACGACCGAATAGAGTACAGCATCCTGTACATCAGCTTGTATTCCTGGGGGAGGAGGTACAGGATAAGCTCTGTTGTGAGCTTGTAGCATGACCCAGGCTAGGCTGTAGAGCTGCCCCAGAGCTGTCTCCAAAGTAAGGGATGAGCCTCTTCTGGACTCCACTACCAGGAGAGGGGGATTAGATTAAAATGAGCCGGCCAAGCCTATCACAGCTCTCAGCAACTCGCTGAGTCTGCCCCATTGCTGCCTTAATCCAGATGTGCTGTTCTTGGATGCATTTGAAATACCCTGTTAATACCGAGTCCTGGTTGCCCACAGAGAATAGCAGTCATGATCTCAGTTTTTCTCATGCCTGTGTATTGGACACTTCCCTGATGAGTGCTCTGCTGGTTTTTCTTTGGTTCCCAAAGTGCTGTTTAGTTATTCGGGAGTACACAGTAACGCACCACAAGGCATGAGAATAGTTGCACCAACCAGCAACACCCCAGGCAGGGGAATTAGGGTTGCTGGGTGGGAACAGGGAGAATGTTCCTGCCTGCCTGTTGACATAGGGCATGGTCTGCCCACTAAAAACGGCTGCTGTAGAACGGACTGGTCTGATCTCCTGAACGCCAAATCTTATAGCAGAGTTTAAAGACTGCAGTCTCGTGCCCCTCTCCTTGCTGCTTTGTACATGAGCATTATTTACAGCATCTAAATTGGCCCCCATGTCCATGCTTCTCCCCCAAGCCTGTATCCCCAAGAATGCCACAACTTTACTCCTCCCACCTTTCTTGCTCCCTCTTTTTTATTTTTGAAATTTTTCATTTTTTAGAGAATATAAACTGAAAGATGTACAACAGCCTCACCTGCACCATCTAGTGGCACTGACTACGTCCCATTCTCTCCTTTTCTGAGTAGTACCCCCAACCCTGATTGACATAAACCCACTCCCCCGAAGATTGGCTGCACCCCTACATTTATTGTCCTGAGAAACTTTGAATCAAAAAGTGGAGCTTAACTAAGTGAAAAAAAAAAAAAAAGCTTTGAGCATTAAGCTTTTAACAACTATATGTATCTGATGAAATTGAGAACTCAAAAGATGAAATAAACCAAACTCCAAATGCACTACGACCCTGTAGGACAGGGTAGAACTGCCCCTGTTAGTTTCCAAGACTAACTCTTGGCACAGTAGAAAGCCTCATCTTTGTCCCAGGTAGTACCTGATGATTTCAAACTGTTGATCTTGTGGTTAGCAGCCCAATAAGTAACCACTGCACCAGCCAACCCCCCTGTCAGTGAGTCCATTCAGACTCCGTAGAGTAGGCAGAGTAGGATTGTTCCAGTGTCGCAGGCTGTAAAGCAGCTTAGTCTAACACAAAGGTCAACAGTTCAAGCCTAACCTGCTGCTTCTAGGGAGACAAGCAGTCTGCTTCTAGAAGATTTACAGCAGTGTTTCCCAAAGTAGGTGGCATCACCAGGGCTGGCGGGGTGCTGGATGGAACGATTCAGGGGGACTGCAGAAGCAGACATCCATGTCCTAGATGATGGTCAATAGTGCAAACGTTTTTCATTGCC